CCTTGGGTTTTCTGGCAACAGAGTCTCAGGAAACTGGCATCATGGGTCTGCATCACCAGGTCCCTTTGGGCTCTGTACAATGCAAAAGTGTTCTTTAAATGAAGGTAAGATAGAGTGACCCAGAGTAATGAAAATGGAGAGCAAACAGCACGCATGTGCAAAGAAGTTCTTCAGGAGTGAGGGCTGTATACTCAGGTAGAATTGTGGGAGTGGAGAAAGCAGAACATATCAACAGAAGAGTTTGTATGTAGGAAACACATGCCAAGTTCATAGGGCAGCTGGAATGTTGCCTTGGGTTTTTGTTAATGTCTGTGTACAAAACAAGAAAGGAAAACACGAAGGACCACAAGGTAAATAGGGGTTAAAATGTTCTCACATTTTTGCATTCCGAAGAGGTGTAAAAGGATTTTTTTAGGCTCTTAATAATAAAAAGAGGCAGTTGCTATTGCTAAAAGAATAGATGATCAATAAGCTAAAAGAGAAATTTGAATTATAATTCTGATCAGCCTAAAAGTAAAGCAGGAAGAAATCCACTGACATCACCTGTAAAAGAAATATATAATCCAATTAAAAGACAAAGATAGGGGCAGGAGTGATGACTCAGTCATTAAGAGCAATTGCTGCTTTTCTACAGGACCCAGTTCCCAGCATCCGTACCAGACAGCTCACTGGTCTGTAACTCCAGCTCCAGAGGAATCCACACCTCTGGCTTCCACAGGCACCTGTACTCACGTGCACTCATCTACAAGCAGACACACCACCTACACATAAATAAAATCAAATCTTTTTCTAAAGGCAAAAATGGGTTGGATTTAAAAAACCAAACCAAAACAGGTGTGTTTCCATTCAGGTGACACATTTAAAATACAAAGTCACAGTCTGATGGTAATAGGACAGAGTAATGATAATCAAAAGAAATGGTATCATCTATGGAGCTGAGGGCTTAAGGCAAGAAGCCTCACTAGAAATGAAGAGAGCATTTGATAGTGATTAAAAACCAGCGTGAAAGATATAATCTGTATGTAGCTAAAACCCATGAAGGGGTAGGAGTGTAAATGGAGGCTAAAGAGAGATTTAAATGTTTTTAATGGCACCAGAGAGTTAGGACTAAGTTCTATACAACTTTTCGAAAATACTCATGTCTTACTCATGTAAAGAACTTGGGGGAAATGGCAGCCCCTGAACTTCATTAAGGATGCTAGGAAAATAACTGCAGAAATCCAAGTTTGGCCCTGCTTTCGTCAACTTATCAAGACAACTGAGTACATAGTAAACTAATGAAAACTTTACAATAGATGCTGTAAAAGCTTTAACTGTTAATTGAAAGCAAGACCGGCCATATACAAACAGAATTCTATATTATGTAGTCACAGAAAAGAAGTCTGCTTGTTTCCAACACTGGGGGGAATAGTCTTGAAAGAATAGTAAGGATATATGCTGTTACTCATATATGAAGTCTAAGAAAGGTTGAATTTGTAGAAACAGTAGAATGACATTTACTCTAGCAGGGATTTTAGGGTAACATCTGGACCCCTGCAGGTCCCAACAAGCAATATGCCAATGAAAGAGAACTACTCAGAGATGCAGAGGAAGGGAATTTAATCAGTATGGACACCTCGAGAAGGACAAAGATGTCCTTTGTAACTCCAAACCCATCTTTGGGGTCCTGATGTGAGGTTTATGTTTCAATAGAAGGTGAAGTGTATAATTAACAGTGCTGGCCAAGACACCATACAGTCAACATTGAACGTCACTGTCCAGCTTTTTTTCTGCGAGGTTTTCTGACAAGATACCAGACCACTGTGAACTCTCTTCCAGAGAGGCAAGTTCTTTCTCTGCCTGGCACCAGATTTTGGTCTTTTCTTTCCCTCACTGGGGAGTTTTGTTTCACTGGGGTTCAATGTTTGAATAATGAGTTAACTGGAAGTGACGGCACAACCATCTCTTTTAGAATACTTCCTCTCTGGCAAAAGGGGTCCTATTACCAGAGACAGATAGGGGAAAGGGAGATGAGTTAGTTCAGGGGATCTAGTGTGTGGCATGGTGTCTGCATTTACTAACTCTGAGTTTTACTCCTGTAATTTGCTCCATGACTGCAAACTAAAAGGCATTGTGGTAAGAGGATGGAGAAATTATCTAATTTGATTGAGGCATTTATATTACAAAATATTTCTACATTCAATCACCACAGTGTGCATTTTGAAATCAATTTCATTAGTTGACTATACATGATATAAAAACAAGCAAACAAACAAGAAAAATACCAGCTGGAATAAGGAACCAAGTATAGAGTCACATACAGAGCAAACGAAATCCCTAAGCCCAAATAAAACGATAGAAACAGAAACTAGAGAAGAAAAGTCAAGAAGAAGTATGTGCCGAGCCTTTCCTGGACCCAGACTAAAACCGACTTCTTGTTTTTAGCATTTCTTACCTGATTGTTCCTCAAACTCCACCTCACAGGTAGTTACAAGATTGCATAACCTCGATTTTTTAACACTTAACTGTCTCTACCACACTTGAGAGACTCGAACACACACTTGTCATCTGGTTTATGTTAGAAAAATTCACAGAACAGATAGACGATAACTTCCAAATGACTCCTCTTTAACTATGACCATTGGCCAGCATCCCCACAATCATTTCAGTCTGTCTCCCTCCTGGGATGACAGCCAGGAAGAGCTAGGGAAGACGGCCTTATTAGGTAGTAGATAAAGCACAGACTGGAACTGGGTTGACCTGGGTTGACTCCTGTGTCTAAGTGCTGCCATCCTGTGTGATGGACCTATCTAAAAGGTGACTTGGACATGACCAGGTCTGTGGCAATGCTCAGAATCTCTAACTTTTGCTAGTGGCGTCATCATGAAGCTTATCAGAGACAGGAGGTTGTTTTGGCCAAGGGTAAAAGATGATGGACTCTGGTCCTGGAGAGATGGCTCAGTGGGTACAAGTCCTTGCTGTAATGTGAGGACCAGAGTTAAGATTCTCAGCACTCAAGTAAATGTTGGGTGGGCTACCTGTAATCCTAGCCCTCAGGGGGCAGAGGCAGGATCCCTGAGACACACCAGCTGGGTAGACTAGTCAAATCGGCAAGCTCTGGATTCAAGTGAGAGGCCCTACCTCATACAGTAGAGATAACCCGGGAAAGATACTGACATCAACCTTTGGCCACTACATTGAATGTGCATTCACGAGAACCCCTATACAGGCAAACACACACCACATACACGCAAAGAGAACGGCATGTCTGGGGCATTTCAGTTTCTGCTTAGCTACTGGGGCACTCTGAGAAGTGAACAGAATCCTTGGCTGCACGAATTGAATTGTACTTCACCTTTGTTCCTCATGTTTCTGTCTCTGATAATCTGGCTCATGGTCCTCAACCATGGATCTCTCTCAGGAACACTCAACCATCTACACCTAAGGGTTCTTCAGAGTGGTAATGAGCAGCTTGGGTGGTTACCTGCTGGCCCCTTTACCCTCCTGTTCCAGGTGGAACAAGTTCTGGATTGCACAGATTAATGCTATTAGCATTTCCTTGGAGCAGAAGCTGCTGGCTAAGGAAGGTGTGGTGCACTCGGCAGAGAGAGAAAGGGCTCGATGCCAGAAGCCTAGAGTGTTAGTGAGTCAGACCAGTGACCCAGGAAACCCCAAGTCCTGTGTCCTGAGGTTCCCCACCTTATAAAACAAACACTATGAGATTGTCTGTGCTGCTGACCTCAAGTGATAATGTAAGGTTCAAAATAGAAATCAGATGAGTACTTTTTTTCCCCCAAAACCCGAGAAGGTGCTGTGTAACATGTCATGTTAGCCTCAGAACTAGAGAATGCTCACTGCGCCAATGCTCGCTGCATACATACACCTCATTTCTGGTTTTAGACACTAGTTTTCTCATCTACAAAATGGAGAGTGTCACATTATTCCTGGTATTAGAAGGAAAGGAAGCAATGGACACAAGCTATGCTTGCTATTTCTGACAGATATTTTAAAAACTGCTTTATTTTATGTGTATGGGTGTTTTGCCTGCCTGTATGTGTGCACCACATGTGTGTTCCTGGTGCCCTCAGAGACCAGAAGAGGGTGTCAAATGTCTTGGAACTGGGTCGCAAGCCACCAAGTAGGTGCTGGAAATCAAAATGGGTCCTCTGCAAGAGGAGCAAATGCTCTTAGTGCTAAGTCATCTCTCCAGCCCCATTGATAGGTGTTTTTATCACAAAGTTGGGAGTAATGTCAAATGGGTTCTGGGATTTTAACCTACCATTGAATCCCATGCCTCTCCTAGAAGTAGAGAGCACACCCCATGGGTGTTAGCAGGTACAGTATTTCCATCTGAAAAGCTTGGAGACTTTACAACAGGTCTCAGGGCGTCTTTGATTACAAACCAAGTCTTCTGAGGTGACAGGTACAATTGACTTTGCTGCCTGAGAGCTGCCCCTTCAGATCCCATTATGGTGACAGAAGATCAATACTAGCAAGAGGTGAGTGTGTATAATCAGCCTAACTGAAGTCAGTTGGAACCTTTGGTGTGGATGTCACAGCAGGAAGAAGGAAACAAGAAGAACGAAGGACACAGCACCAGGCAGTTGAAATGCCCAGCCCTTAAGCAATTGTTGCCGCTACTCCTCAACTTCTGCCACTTTCTGGATCCCCTCTCAAGGCTTATGTTACCTAGGACAAAGCTCAGGTTTCTGGGAGACCCAAAGCTTGGAGTGCTGAGCTTGGATGTAAGAAAGGACATGGTCATTCTTGACTCGGGCTCTGCCTGTGTGCTGATTCTTAACCTGTGCAAAACAATACACACAGATGCCGTCAGCTGACATCCACAGACTTTCCTCGCCTAAAATAACTCCAATAATCATGAGGTGTGGGACATGCCTTGTAACACACAAAACAATAGACTCTCGAGAATGTCAAGTTTCAGTGCAACAAAACGGAACATGTCTCCCGGGAAAGGACAAACTCCAGTTTCAAACGCCACCGTGAAGGATGTCCCAGCTTACCTACGGATATGGTCCACACAGCAATGATTTTCAGGAAGGCCTTGGTTCTGGAGTTGAAGCGGCTATGGTGGATGGGGTTCTGGATGGCGACATAGCGGTCCAGTGAAATAGCACAGAGGTGCATGATGGAGGCCGTGGAGAAGAGGACGTCCAGGTAGATCCAGACTGCACAGAGCTTGCTGGGCAAAGGCCACCGGTACCCTGTGTGTGGTGCAGAAGTTTAGTGTCAGAAAGCAGCTTCATACTTCTTTTGGCACATGACCTATACCCTGGGACAACTGTTAACAACTTGGGTGGGGGGAGGCAGGCATTGGTGACAGTGAAGGAGATTACGCGACTTTCAACATTTGAACAAATAGCAAGCGTGATAGGTGAGTGTAGGTTTGGATGTCTCTGGCCTGTGGAATCATATTAGCAAAAGAGGAACTGGCTTGTTCCTCTTGACTGAGTCTCCTTCCCAACTCCACCTGGCTGTAAGCTCCTGGAGCCACAGGAGAGACCAGGTCCCTCCCCTGAGGACCTCAACTGCCAGTCTATACCTATAGGTGGGGTGGGGAGGGGCTGGCCACCTTGTGTCTCAAGGGGCTTACACTGGCAAAGCCATTTTTATTTAACAATTAATCCGAAGTTATGTTCTGAGTTCCTTCATCATTTATCCACACAGTTCTGTCTCGAGTTAAGGTCCTTATGGGTTATCTAACCTTAGCCATTCCTAGATGTGTCCAGCCTCATACGAGCAGGCAATTAGTGATGTTGTGACAAAATGACTTTATGTCTACCTCTTGAATGTCTTTAATTATGATACATAGTCCCCCAATGTTTTATTAGACTCAAATTTGGGGCACGTGAGAAACACTGAGGATGCCGAAATTAAGGGTGTCTAAGCTTGGAGCTTTGTCCCAGGGCAGTGTCCAAATTACGGGTGACAGCTCGTTTTCTTAGTTGGTTCCTTACAATGTGGGACCCAGACCCATCTCTGGTCATTCTGAACCAGTAAGGCTGGAGCAGGCTGGAAAATGTGCAATTTTCAAAAACTTAGAAATCATACAGCTGACTCTGATATTGGAGCCTCTCCCAGTAGCTGTTGCTTTGGGCAAAGATACCCTTCCTCCTGTCCCTCCCTGCCCCAGCATCGCAATCAGCCAATAGAATTTTGGGTCCAGTTAATTATTCTCTCTGTAGAGTGGCTAGAGGTAGACCCTCAGTATCAAAGGGGTCTGAAAACTTCCCAAAGGCCCGGACAGAAAGCCTGGCAGATGCTCTGCTGTCTGCGGAAGACAGCAGTTGCCTTGATACCATAAAGGAAGTGTCCTCTTCCTCTCGGTGTGTTTTGGAGAGCATCAAACACTTGAGTAAACCGTTAATTAGTTTGGCTAACAGAATGAGCAATGATATTACATCTGCCTGCGAATGGGAAGGGAAATTAGATCAGTTCTTTAGAATAGGAGAGCTCAAACTGAGCGAGCCCTCACTTAAGCACGTCTTACTTCTGCCAAAGAAAAGGAGCGCTGCGGAACCTAAACCTAATCCCAAACCTTCTAGTTCCAGTCTCGGCAAACAGTTTAAGCTGAAAGGGTCTTATACTTTTAGTCCTGAACCCAGATACCGCCTCTGCTCTTGGGAACTGATGTTGGCTCTTGCCGGGCTGGAGGTGGAGGATGGTGGCGGGGAGGGGATGGGGGAGTCTTCCCTAAAAGAAAACAAGCCCTTCTCCCCTTAAAGTTTCCTCCAATGTGTAAGAAGAGAATACTTGTGCAAGACAGATGTATCACTTGCCCCTGGGGAAGACGCAGGACCAGCCAGGAAGACTCTGGAAGGGTGCAGGCTGCATACCCAGAAATTGTCACTAGGGGACAGCCTTGAGCTGAGACCAAGGGACCTGGTGCACTTCCTACATGGCCAGGGCTGCCCCTGCTGCACCCCGCCCTCCTGCTGTGGTTTGGGTTCTTGCAGAGTCACCCCTCCCACCCGCAGTAGAGTTTGCCCCCAGAGCTGGCTAGGGTTTTAGGAAGTGACCGCCCCTCCTCAGTGACTGAGAAACGATAAGCAAATGTAATGGAATTATTCCTGTGTGCCATTTGAATGGTCAAGTCAGGGATGGTCTTTACAAAGGGATACTGACTATTCCTGGCTGGTCTCCTTCTTTTTGAAGCTTTTCAGAGCTAGGTTCATATTGTAGCCTCTAGAGCTTGGCCAGAAAACCCTTTAAAGGTTTCTCGAAAACTACCTATGGCTCTGGTGACTCGCGAGTACCAACAGTCTTAATATTATTTCCTTTGCTCTTTGTTAGGAGGACTCTGGCTGTATTATTCATAATTTGAAAGAATATCACGTTCTGCTCCCCCATGAAAGCCGTCCCAGTGTTTGCTGACTTCCTGAGAAGTTTGATGCTGTCAAACTGGGTTGAGAAAAAAGCAAGATTAATAGCTTTCCGTTTGTTTTCCACCCTCCTCCAAAACCAGACAGAAGGAGTTTCCGTGTATACATTTTTTAAAGACTTGAGGGTATAACTCAAAGGCTTTCTTCCATATTGGCTTTTCTGGGCAAGGGGGACAATTAAAACCAGAGTTATTCATTTATTCTAATGGAGACTCTGAATATTTTAACATTAAACCCACTCCAGCACTAATGCTCTCTCTGCAAATGTTCCAAGGTAATTGGGAAGGCTTTACCACTCCATTAGAAGTGCTGAGAACTGTGTGACAAAGATAAAACCGTTCAGTCCCAAGGCTGGCAAAGAAAAGCAAAAATCACATGGACACAGAATGAAAGTTAAATTATGCTCATGGAGTTTTGGAATACAGATAATAACTTCTCTACAAAATTTATTTTAAATCTCGAAATTCTCTGGTGATCAGGTACCAGGCTGTCTCACAAGTAAAACAGAATTTTAAGACTAAAAGCTTCTGGTCTATTTCTTTCCTGAGCCCCAGTCCCTCTGCAAACAGCCATGCACATGCTCTTTTAGACTACACTGGGGGCAGCTGACATGCTAACACCACTCACCATACAAGATGGTTAACATGGACACAGGCATGACAAGGAAGCCCAGCAGCATATCAGCTATGGCAAGTGACATCAGGAAATAGTTGGTGGCATTCTGTAGCTTTTTCTCTAGGGACACTGCCATGATGACCAGTATGTTTCCAGCAATGGTTAGGATAATCACTACAGTTGTCAATAAAGCAGACCAGTTTTTTTCCTGGAGATGAAGAATGGAGAGGCATGTCGGTGGGAGGTACCCTTCGCAGGAAAGATTGGTCCGGTTTTCCGCATCAATTGTCCAGTTTGATGCATCAGAGCTGTTAGCATCTCTGGAGTTGAAGTCGTTATGGTAGAGCCTGGAGTCACCATCTAATTGCATTAAAGAGTTTGGAATTGAGCTCAGAGAAGTATTGTCTTCACAAAGAATTTCCATGTCTAAGCCGGAAGTTGTAGCAGATGAAGTGTGGAAGGACTAGCAAGTCATAGCCTTGGCTCACCATTCATCTTCATGCCCCGGTGCTAGGACGTGTTGAAGCGGAGACCATGTGTGGCTCCTCTGGCTGCCTTTTCCTCTCCCATAGTAAGAGTTACAGAAGTGTGACGCCTCTTGATTGATACTGTCTCCCTTCACAGTGCTAGGAAGAGTCCCAGGTCCAGGTGTAACTTCTCAATGAAGCAAAGGCAAAAAAAAAGCCCTTTTGAGCATTTGAGGACACAAACGTGCTCCTGGTTAAGGAAGAAAAGTTTTGTAAGCAGTGGGGATCTGTTTCTGCTAATTCTCGGGTTGAATGTGCCGATTTCGCGAGTTCAGCCATCACAAAGTTAAAACAGCATGCAATCCGAAATCAGTAGGGAGGGCTGTGTGCCCTCTGTGTTAAGGAAGTCCGTTAAAAACCCATGCATGTTAATCCCGTAGTAACTGGATATACTTGACTTACTCTTCTTAGTCTCCGGCAGAATCGCCGCAGCGGCGATCAGGAATTTCTGCTCCTGTCTGTGGCTTGGTTAATGAAAGGAAAACGCATCCCGAAGAGCAGCAGAGAACTTTCCACTCCAGAAATTCTCACGGCAATGACGGCATCGTGGCCAAGCGTGACTTCAACCAGAAAGAAAATCCCACAGCAGTAAAAGACAGCAGCCTAAGAACTTACATTCATTGTCGCCAGGGTCTGCTATCCTGTGACTCGCCTGTCGCATGGTGGTGACTGAGCTGGTGTGGAATCCCCTCTCCTTGAGCTTCCAGCAGCTGAAAATGAGAATAATTTGATTTCTGTTTCTGCTGACTTCAAAAACTGCATGCCAGTGCCAGCAGTTGAGGTCTGTGCTGGCTGCCTCTGGCCACTGCTCTGCTCCGCTCGGGTCCCCCCCTCCGGGAGCTGCTGCTCGCCTCCGCAGGCGCTCAGTAGGAATCAGTCACCGGGAGCCCCTCTCAAAGTCACACAAAAGAGCCGCAGGGAAAGTAGGAAGGGCTGTCAGCACCAAGTGGCTCCCGGGTTTCCAGGAGAACAAGCAGCTCTAGTCTGTCTCCTTTCTCAGACCTCCCTCTGTCACCGTGTCATAACCTGCAAGGTGGCGACAGCCAGGAAGGGCAGAGCAAACAGCTCGCCCACCCCCCTGCCCCATTCTTCTTTCCGCTACAGGTTCACATTGAGAACTTTTGCTTTAAAGAGAGAGAGAGAGTGGAGACACAGCCTAGTGGCTAGATTGCTAATCAGGTGGGCTACCTCGCAGTGATATTTTAGGCTGAGGGGTGAAGAGTGAGGAGAGAAGGTAAATAAGGTTAGGAACCAGTGTGTCCTGGGGTGTGGGAGCACCCAGCACATCTATCCAAGCCAGTGGTGCTGTGTCCAGGACGCATGGCTGACATTGGCAACATGAGTTCGGAGGAGCCCGGAAGTCTGGGGCGACAACTGATAAACCATTAGTTCATTGTTGAGTTAGTTAAATGTATTTCAGCACACACACCATTGTTATGTGTACGCACCACTTAACCAGCTTATTTTTCTTCATCTGCAAAATGTCACCAGGGAGTGATCGAAAACTTCACGTTAGAGAATGAAGCCTTTCATTTTACTTTTATTTATTTTTTATCCGGAAGTGACACGAATGGCTCTCTCTCATGTGGCTCTTAAGGAAGGCAGATGTAGATCGTTACCTCTCCAGATGAGAATGTGGATTATTTCTCCAGCGCGAGGGGCTTTCTGGGGGTTCTGTTTACCACATTCTTCTCTTGTCTATTGCACTCCCCATTCAGCCACTCCCAGGATGTTGCCAATCACCCAATCCTTGTGGCAGTACCACAGCTAAGCATCTGTGACCCAGGTCACCTTGTCACTGTCCATTCTGAGCCTCTCATCTTAGGGTTTCTCTCCACACGTCCCCCTGGTTCATGGAATCATCATAATTATGGCTCACCCACCTCCCTGCCCATCCCTCTAGACCCCCAGCTGTCCCTCCCACCTCAAGCACATTTCTCAGCTCTTCTCTGTTCGGCCACAGTGAGGAGCCCTTCTGTTATTCCTGGATGGGCACATTATTCCCAAATCGCCTGCCTGTCATGAGGCTGCTGGTCTTCTGCATCCAATGCATGGTCTGTGGGGGCAGGACTGTGTAGAGTAGGCAAGGGAGTCACAGTCCCTTGGTTCAGAATGTCAGCTTTGTAACTCATACCACTCAGCTGTCTTGAGAGCCCCCGGTATCATCCATTGTCAACCCAGGGGGATGTGAGCTTCATCACTGGGTTGCAGTGAGGCATCAGATCATCAGATGACATACACGCATGCGTAGCCCGTGTCTGGCTGGTAGCATGTTCTACACTGTACACTAGCCTTTTTATTCCTACTAAAGTTATTATTGATTGCAGGAAAAATTATTATCATCCTCTTGCCTACATTCCTTGTCGCTTCTTTGAGGGATATACAGCTCCTTTCTTAGTTTGCTCATTCTCTGCAGGGGCGGGGGTCCCCTGCTTTCAGTCCTAGACTCTCACAGCGTTTCCATGGGCAGGCTGGCTGCAGTCTGAATCTTCATGGTGCTGACATGTTCATGTTTGCGTTTGTAGTTCCTTGAGACTGGAATACTTTCACTGTCTCTCTTTCTGAACTCACCTTGGGAATTTCCAAAGTGCAACTCCCAAGCTTGCCACTTGTCACCTCTGTGACCTTGATTAAGCTCTTTAATCTCTACACGTGGCCTCCTCAACTGGATGAAAAGGAATAGGATTAGCCGTACATCGACTTCAGAAAGTTAACCTGAGAGCTAAGCAAGTTTATAGATTCACCTGGCATATTATAAGCCCACATGTTTTTAGTCTTATTGCTCTATTGGATTTCCTTTTAGGGAGCTCGCTGTGAATGGTCCTTCCCCATTGGAGGCAAAGACTTGCCCACTCTCTGCAGTCTTTCATTTGAATGCTAATCACACTGAGTTCAAGCCACATACAGGCAAGAGGTGTGGGCATCTTGTTCATGGTTGGGTGCATGGTTTTTCCTTTAAATACACATGAACTGAAAGCATGAGTCACTTTTTGAAGACTTGGTGGCACAGGCCTGTAATCTTACCTATTTAGGGGGCTTGGGGAGTAGGGAGCAGGTTGAAGTCCAGCCTGGGAAAAAATAAAATATTAAAAAAAGGATTTTTTGCAATTTTTGCACAGTTTTGTGGACAAAGCAATATAGACATGATCTATCCACGTTGTTGACTACTGATAATAGAATGTGAGTCAGATTGGGTAGGAAAGTATTTTTATTCTTATATATTGGACATAATAATGGGACTTTATTATGACATTTAAATATATGTATAAATAAGACATGCTTTGACTATATTCAGCCCTAGCTATTCTAAGTCCAACAGTCTTTTTGAGTTTGCAGTGTGTTGGCAGCTGTGGTGGACGCTGGAAAGAGCAGCCCAGCACACCCTGCAGGACTGTAGTGCTTAGTCTCGCTACTGAGAGAAGTATTAGCAGATGGATCTCAGCCATTACCCTCAGCTACACTATGTGGCCATACTATTTCCCTGAGGGCAGTTCCCATGTGGTGACAGTAGTGACACTAGGTTCACCTTTGCCCAAAGGCTGGACAGGGGTCAGTGGCCTTCTTAAAGTATCTTCTCACATGTACCGAGGCCTTTATTGTATGAGTCATACTCCCTACCCCCAATTGTGTCTGTGTCTGTGTCCGGTGGCAACCCTCTCCCCTTCCCCACTGCTCCCCTATGGGTGCTGATCTGGGAGTCCTCTTCAGTGGCCCCTCCTACACAGCCTGCCTGATTTGGCTTCCTGGGAACTCGGCATAAGATGTAGCTCTCCCAACTGTGTTTTAATGCTTTTTACACCCGCGGATGAGCCTGCCCTGCAGAGAGCTCAAGTTAGGAATGCTTCTTTGTTTCTTTTCCCACTGTGTATCAGAGATTTTTATTGCTGGGCTCATTTTCTCTTAGAAAATACTTTATTTTTAAAATTTATTTTACATGCCAACCACAGTTCCCCCTCCTTCCCCTCCTCTCCCTCCACCCACCTCCCCTCCCCCACCCCCATTCACTTCTTAGAAAGGGTAAGGCCTCCCATGGGGAGTCAACAAAGGCTGGCACTTGAAGTTGAGGCAGGACAAAGTATTCCTATCCCAACCTCCAAAGCCGAGCAAGGCATCCCACCATATGGAATGGGCTTCAAAGGCCAGGTCATGCACTAGGAATAGATCCTGGTCCCATTGGGGGAGGTCCCACAAACAGACCAGGCTACAAAACTGTCGCCCATATCCAGAGGGCCTGGTTTGGTAGCATTCAGGATCTTCAGCTATTGGTCTGGAGTCTGTGAGCTCTGAAAAGTTCGGGTCAACTGTCTCTGTGGGTTTCCCATCATGATCTTGACCTCTGTCCCTTGCTCATATAATTCCTCCTTTCTCTTTTTGACTGGACCCCTGTAGCTCAGCCTGGTGCTTGAATATGGATCTCTGCATCTGCTTCCATCAGTTACTGGATGAAAGTTCTGTGATGACAGTTAGGGTAGTCACCAATCTGATTATAGGGAAGACTAGTTTAGGTGCCCTCTCTACTATTGCTAGGGTTCTTAGCTGGGGTCATCCTTGTGAATCCCTGGGTATTTCCCTAGCACCAGGTTTCTTCTTAGCCCCATAAAGGCTCTCTCTATAGAGATCTCTCTTTCCTTGCTCTCCTACCCCATCTTCCCCATAACTGGACCATCCAACTTCCTCATAGTCTCCTCCCCCATCCTCTCCTCTTTACCCTGCCCCCCCAGTTTACCCAGGATATCTCATCTATTTCCCCTTCCTAGGGCAATCCTTAGGTCTCTCTTAGGGTCGTCCTTGTTACCTAACTTCTCTGGAGCTGTGGATTGTGGGCTGCTTATTCTTTGCTTTACATCTAATATTCACTTATGATTGGGTACATACTTTGTCTTTCTGGATCTGGGATACCTCACTCAGAATGATTTTTTTTCTAGTTCCATCCATTTGCCTGCAAATTTCAAGTCCATTTGCCTGCAAATTTCAAGATGCCATTGATTTTTACAGCTGAGTAATACTCCATTGTGTAAATGAACCACATTTTCTTTATCTATTCTTTGGTTGAGGGGCATCTAGGTTGTCTCCAGGTTCTGGTTATGAATAATGCTGCTATGAACTTAGCTGAACAAGTGTCCTTGTGGTATGACTGAGCATCCTTTGGGTATATGCCCAAGAGTGGTAATGGTGGATCTTGAGGTAGACTGCTCCCCAATTTTCTGAGAAACCTCCTTACTTATTTCCAACTTCCAGTTACTCATAGTCAGTGGCTGCCTTGTTATTGTCAGAGGAGCTTGAGGTCAACAAAATCAACTTATTATTTGATTCATAATTCTAAAATTATTGGGTCTTATATTATGTGGTGACTTTTATAACTAGTTTTTGTTATACAGGTCAACAGAAAAATTATTGCTTAAAATTGCTTTAAAAAGTAGCTGAAGTAGCATTGAAAGCCCTTGCTGAACTTTTCCCCCATGCTAAAGGCACTTGGTTCCTGAAATATTAATGCTTTATAGATGTTAAAATATGTAAGAAAAAAGTTCTGTGAGTAAATAAATCTGGGTCATACTGCATTTTTATAGCCTCCTCTTGAGCATTTTAAAGGCTATGGGAAACCCTGTAATAACAGATTTGCTTTTGTTTATCTCCCCTCTTCCAAAACATTCACTCTAGGTTCATTTTATTTTCTTTCAAAGAATTGAGTTATATTTTGCATTCATCAAAATATAAGGATCTTAAATATGTAATTCAGTGAGTTTTGAAAAAATATATACGCCCCCACAACTGTCACCCAAATCAACACACCTACCTTTTCTATGTTTCCATTATTTTTTAAAGTTCCTTCATACTCATTTTTGACCTCTGCTTAAGCCAGAAACATTTGGTTTCTTTTTACTCTGTAGTATGCCTATAAGTTCTACCCAGTTTGCTGCCATAAAACTGGGGTGTGTGTGTGTGTGTGTGTGTGTGTATGTGTGTGTGTGTGTGTGTGTGTGTGTATGTATGTGTGTGCATGCCCATAAGGCCGAAGAGGACAACTGTTGTCCTGCTCTGTCTTTCTCCTCCTTATTCCCTTAAAATAGGGTCTAATATATACCTGGAGCTCACTGATTCTTGGTTCAGGCTTGTTGACCAGAAGACTCTAATGGTATTCCTTATCCACTTCATACCAGCAACAGGGTTAAAGGTCAGTGTGGCTATGCCCAGCTTTTGTGTGTGTGTTGGAAATCTAAACTGAGGTGCTCATGTTTTCTCAATAAGTGATCTTAACCAATGAGCCATCTCTCCAGAACAGGCCCCCACCTGCCTATGTTTAAAATACATGGTAACCCAGTAAAATCTTTAAGAATCTAGGTATGAATATTGACTGGAT